GGGCTGGGGATTCGAACCCGCCACCTTAGGTGTATGTGGCTGGCGCCTTAGCAGCTTGAGCCACAGGCGCCGAGCCCCTTGTGGTGATATTTACTACATCTTTCTATACTTTTGAAGGATGTGTTATTTTTAAAAGGCTCCTGAATTTGTACTTCCACTGTACCATGAGGACTGTTGGCAGCTGATCAAGAACCTTCTGAAAATAATGGAGAGATTTCTAGGTTTGCTGTTAACTAGTAGAACACATTAACATGAACATTGGCTTTTAGCTCTATTTATTAGTATAGGACTAAGATTATTTGAATGTGGTTTCAAACCTTCAGTGGGGATGGGAGAGCCTGTTTGTGGTTGTAGAATGACTTGTCAACTCACTGTTCTGGTTTTTAATTTTTGTTCCTTCTGTTTTTCCCTTTTTCTTTCCAAACCAGGTTGTACTGGCTCGAGAACTGGCAACCTCCAGGGAATATGCTAGTAAGTACTAAGTCTGGTGAGCTGTGTGTCTGGGTTGCAGAGACAGAAGTCTCCTGGGTAGGGCAGCCTGGTGACAGAACCTGGGGCTTCTTTGCTGACTTCAGGGTATAGATTCTGTTGGACTCAAGAGACCACAAAGCTGGTGTGTATGATTTTTTAAAAACTAATTTGTGCCGGTTACCTTTGTGAGTTGTGCTTCAGTATTTTTTATCATTTCTGATTGTTAGTAACTTAACTTTTCTTTTCACCTTAAGTTAAAATTCTAGAGAAACGGCATATTATAAAAGAGAACAAGGTCCCGTATGTAACCAGAGAACGAGATGTGATGTCACGCCTGGATCACCCCTTCTTTGTTAAGCTTTACTTCACGTTTCAGGATGATGAAAAGCTGTGTATCCTTTGCTTGAGCAGTGCCATCTAAACCACACCAGTCATCCCTTGTTTTAGATTCATGACCCCATTGTTTTCACAAGGAACTCCTCCCCTGAAAGACAAAGAGTATAGCATGGATCCATATCCCTGATGCTTTGGGACTACTGACATTTAGTGGGGCGGCACCTGTGGCTCAAAGGAGTAGGGCCCTGGCCCCATATGCTGGAGGTGGCGGGTTCAAACCCAGCAATAGCCAAAAACGACAAAAAAAAAAAAAAAAAAAAAAAGTATGGCTAAGGTACATGGATACAGAAAGTTATCATAAGGGGAAACCATCAGACATTTTTGAGGTTTTTATTGGTTAGCATTTCATCTAAAGTATGGTTATGTGTTATTTTAACCTATGGTGTTGGGCATTTATGTAGAGGGAGTCCCTCATCCCACTAACTGATGACCTTGGAGATACCTGTTAGTGTCAATTCCTGTGCTCAGGTGGTGCCTGAATGGCGATCTTGGGGTGCACTGGCCTCCAGACCTTTGTCAGTTCTAGACTTTAGGGTTTGGTTAGAAAGGATGTCTTTTTTTTTTTCCTTTTTCTTTCTTTGAGACAGAGCCTCAAGCTGTCGCCCTGGGTAGTGCCGTGGCCTCACAGCTCATAGCAACTTCCAACTCCTGGCTTAAGCAATTCTCTTGCTTCAGCCTACCAAGTAGCTGGGACTATAAGTGCCTGCCCCAATGCCCTGATATTTTTTGGTTGTAGTTGTCATTGTTGTTTGGCAGGCCCGAGCTGGATTTGAACCTGCCAGCTCTGGTATACGTGGCTGGTGCCTTAGCTGCTTGAGCTATAGGCGCTGAGCCAGAAAATATGTCTTTACTGGATTCAGTAACTGAGAAATCTAAGGAGTACCCACAGGTACCTGATCCATCTCTTGCTGCATTCCTAGGGAACCGACCTCACCTCCCAGGCGCTCACTGTCTCTCTAATCTCTTAGTCCCTCACTTTCCATACTGGTCAGACTGTTCTTCGGCAGAGATTTAATTCAGTTTCCTCTGTTGCTGCCTTTGTTGGTGTCCTTTGCTCCAGACCAGACCTCTTTTCTAACCCTGACACACTGTCTTCTATTTTTAAATTCTAGGGAGTCAGGGCCCCATGGAAGTTGGGATGTGCCCCACCTAGTTTACCTTGGGGCTGGTCACACTGTCTATGCTCCCAGCAGATGCTCCTTCTCTCCCTCTCTCAGTACTGTGGAGCCTCCCCACCTGCCCGACACTGGTCCAGGTGTCTGTGGGCTCAGCTTCTTATCCCTCCTTGGGGTGGGACCTGACTTCTCTCTCTGCTTCACCCTGCCATGCCCCGATTCTTCTGTGTTAAAACGTGGCTCCATCCTACTCCCACTTTAACACTGTCTTCTTTTTTTCTAAATAAATGGCTCTTTTATGTTTTTAATTTATTTTTTAAAATTTATTTTTGAGAGAGAGTCTCACTCCATTGCCCAGGCTAGAGTACCATGGGGTCAGCCTAGCTTACAGCAACCTCAAATTACTGGGCTCAAGTGATCCTCCAGCCTCAGCCTCCCAAGTAGCTGTGACTATAGGCACCCACCACCATGCCTGCCTAATTTTTTTATTTTCAGTAGAAACACAGTCTGGCTTTTGCTCAGGGTGGTCTTGAACTCCTGAGCTCAAGGGATCCTATTGTACCAGCTTTCCAGAGTGCTATGATTATAGGTATGAACCATGGTGCTTGGCCTTTAAAACCATCTTCGTACTTCTTAACCTGCCAGCTGAATTTGTTAATTCCTTTGTTCACTTAGAAGCCCATGTTACTCTTCCCTTGTCAAGCTTACATCTCAGAGGAGGAGTTGGATATGCACAGAGTATGAACAGTTATGTCACAGACTCCAGGTAGTGGAACATGCTGCCAAGATCATATAGCTGAATGAGGGCAGTCTGGAAAGTGAAGCTCTTTGGGCTTAGTGGTCTGAGGAGGTCGTATTCTGGAAACTTGGAACACATGAGAGCAGGAACATCAGAGCCTGAGGGGTGGCCAGTGCCCTGAAGTGGGAGGGTGCACAGGAGAGTGAAGACTGTTGTGGGTTAGCTCTTTGACTCCTATGGTGGCCTGGTGCTGATTTTGGATTTTCTTCTTTTCGTGGCAGGGAGTGAGGGATTTGCTCTGGCTGCTCATGATTCAGATGGAGAACAGGATTTGGGGGCAGTACAGGAGATTCTTTTTTTTTTTTTTTTGAGACAGAATCTCACTATGTTGCTCTTGGTAGAGTGCTGTGACGTCACAGCTTACAGCAACTTTAAACTCTTGGGCTTAAGCAATTCTTTTGCCTCAGCCTCCCAAGTAACTGGGACTACAGGCGTCCACCACAACGCCTGGCTATTTTTTGGTTGCAATTGTCATTGTTGTTTAGCTGGTCTGGGCCAGGCTTGAACCCGCCAGCCTCAGTGTATGTGGCCTGTGCCCTTCTCATTGAGCTACGAGCACTGAGCAAGTAGAGGAGATTCTTATAAGCAGACTGGGTGAGAGGATGGAGTCAGGATGGTTCCTGGGAGCCTGGTGTGCAGTTGGTGTCTGTTACTGACCCAGGAGAGGCCAAGCTGGGGGCACATGCTGGTATGGCATTTTATGCATCAGCTGGTGCTGCTGTCTGAGGGCCAAGTGGGCTGTTGGAAGGGGTTAGGATGAAGTGCAGATCCAGAGTTTCTTTGTGGACTGGCTGGCCATCCAGGGGCTGGTTTGTCTGGAGACAGAGCCTGGGTTCTTCCTCACAGCAGAGGTTGGCTTGAGGAGGCCACTAAGGAGACTGTTACAGTGAGTCAGGAGGATGGTGACCCAGAGGCCACGGGATCAGTTGGATTCTGATGGAGGCTGCCTGACTGGATACTGCGGAACAGTCAAGTATATGGGCCTGACCAATAGATTTGCCCTTGTGTAAGTTGTTGATGGTGGACAAGCATTTTCTTGGGGGTAGAAGTTCAGTAAAGAGAGATGAGGAAGTGGAGATAGCACAGACAGTGGATCTTCCTGGTTGCTTTGCCTAGAGTATAGTGGTAGCTGATTGCACAGGCTAGAAAGAGGGTGATTATTGGCTTATTGTGGGTCTTGTAGGTTTGTACCCTGACACACCTGCTGTCTTCCTGTGTCGTCCCTTGTTCCTCTGCTGGCACTGCTTACATAGCAGTCATCAGTGGCTTCTTCACATTCTGTTCTGTGTGTCTCTCACTCTGAGGTTGCCTCTGGAGCCCTGTGAGATCATGCCCCTCCTTGAGCCCATGCAGGTCTCTGTAGCTGCCAGACATCCAGAGGCTAGCCTGGGCTTCCTGCAGAGCCTTTCAGGGTGCAGCTGCTTGTGGTTATGGGACTCCTTTGGTCATGGGTGATGGGATCCAGGGATCTAGGTGAGAGTGATCTGGGCTATCTGGTTTCCTAATGGGATTTCCAGAGCAGTACAGGTAGAGGGTCCTCTAGATCTTTGTTCCCTGGTACATGTGGCCCTTGATCATAAAACAACTCCCAAAGTCCCAGAAGGTCATTCACCTCTGACAAAAAGGTGCCCACGGATTTCTGCACCATTGGGGTTTTTGGTATTCTGTATTGAGAAAGAAAAGAAAAGGAAACTGAAGAAATGTTCCCACCCTCCATCCTTTAGCCATGATTTCCTTGGAGTAGCTAGCTGGTCACGTACCTTCATTGCTGTTGTCCTTGAGTGATTGCAGGATAAACTCACCTATCTGTAGGACAGATGAGGGGAGGCACCTGGGGACACCCCAGAAGCAGCCTGAGAAGAGGCAGGTGAATCCATGAAGGGGCCTACTGAGGTTTGCCTTCACCAGATGTGGTTCCAGGGTGGGGAGTCAAACATAGCATCCGGGCAGAGAGTAGCCTCCTGGGGTGCAGCGAGGACCGCTTTCTTTTGAGTGCTGTGGCCAGGCCTGGGCTTCTTATCAGGCCCAGTGGCCTTGGGTGTGACAATAGCATGGCTATCTTGGGCTATAGCTGTTGGAGTTTGCATCTAATTTGAACAAATTCTTACTGGGCCTTCAAATTTTTTTAAAGATGATTTTTACATGCTTTCTTAACTCTATACTATTCAGATTTTGGCCTTAGTTATGCCAAAAATGGAGAACTACTTAAATACATTCGCAAAATTGGTTCGTTTGATGAGACCTGCACCCGATTCTACACAGCTGAGATTGTGTCTGCCCTGGAGTATCTGCATGGCAAGGGCATCATTCACAGGTGACGGGTGCCCTGGCTGGTGTTGGCAGGGTGGGAAGTTTAATAATTAAGGCCCACAAGGTATGGCTAATGCCCAAGTCTTGGGTCAGCCTTGGTGTGCTGTGTGCAGGGGAGTGGCTGAGCTGCTAGCTGACACTGCAATACTCACCTGTAGATGCCAGGTGTCGATCTTTTTTTTTTTTTTTTTAAATTCAGGGGTCTTTCTTGCCAAGCTAATTGCATTTTTAGTCATCCTTTTATTTTGTCACTTGTAGCTTTTGTGTGTACTTATTTGTGGTCTCATTTGTTTTGACTTTCTGCTAAAGTCAAATTGGAAGTGTTTATAAACTATTTTATGAGCTAAAAGGTGGAGACTAAACTTTTATAAAGTTTATTAAAATAACAGATGCAAGCGGCACCTGTGGCTCAAAGGAGTATGGCGCCAGCCCCATATGCTAGAGGTGATGGGTTCAAACCCAGCCCTGGCCAAAAACTGCAAAAAAAAAAAAAAATAATAATAATAATAGACATAGTTATAAAGTGATTTAATTTGAATGTCCTTATTGTATGCAGTTGATACTTGTTCACTGTGAACTTTAGAACTCTAGGTTGTCTGTCTGTAAAGATTATAAGCACTCACTAGTCCATTTTGTTTTCAGCAAAATGCAGAGTATGTTAAAATGTTGCTGTTTTAAGTATTTTACCTCAATGTAAAAATCTACTTTTTCAGGGACCTTAAACCAGAAAACATTTTGTTAAATGAAGATATGCACATCCAGATCACAGATTTTGGAACAGCAAAAGTATTATCCCCAGAGAGCAAACAAGGTGTGTGAGTTTTATTTCTAGTAGAGCCTGGCCCTGCTTAAGGTCAGAGGCAACTTTTGTGAAATGTATTTTCTTCATCATTATTGACAGAGGTTTGTGGTACTGTTGTTATCACAAAACAGATCTGGGCAGGCCCTCCTGTCTCAGGTCTTACTGCGAAGCCTCGGGCAATGTGTCTGGTCTAGGGGGAGTGGGGACGGTCACTGGTTCTCAACAGTGCCTGTTGGGGCTCATCATCCATAGTTGTCTTCCTGGACAGTGCTGGGTGCCACATTGTGGCTGGTCCCACACACAGGTAGTGAAGTGGGTTGGTCAGATCTGCCTCCTCCTGCGGACACTGTGGTAGTGTCTGGAGAGCATGCCCTGCAGCCTGGCCCCCTCCCTCCATCTGCTTGTTGGTCACCCTCTCTGGTATATATAGCTGCCTGTATTCTGATTTTAGTGAAGTTTTAGAAAAATCACAGAATGAGTGGAGGCTGATTTCACCTATTGGTCAAGCGTATGTTTATAATCTTAGAGTTTCCTAGTCCTGCTCTAGTTTTTAGCCATGGGGCATGTTGTGGCGACCTCATTACCTGAGGAGGTGTTGCTGAAGGTACACTTGGACCATGAAAGTGACTTGTTTGGTCTCAGGAGCTAAGGGTATCTTGCTGCCCCTCAGGTCCTTGGATGGAAATATAAAGATGAGAGACCGTTTGGGAGTGTTGTAGAGAGAAGATAAAATCATTAGGATGATGTCTTGGGGAAGCTGAATGCTGCTATGTACATTTGTAGATGACCTTGAAAATGAGCCTGGGGTCTTCAGAATAGGATTGCTCTTGATTCCCTGGCTTCAAGGCTGGTGGGGCCTCTATGCAGAACCTTCCCCTGGCCCTGGGTTGCCTGTGACAGAAAGTCTTTTATAAAAAATGCCAAATGGCTGGGTGTGGTGACTCATGCCTATAATCCCAGCACTGTGGGAGGCTGAGGAGGGAGAATTGCTTGAGCTCAGGAGTTTGAGACTTGTCTGAGCGAGAGTGAGACCCCGACTTGTAAAAAAATGAAAAACCCAGCTGGGTACCCCAATAAGTACCTGTAATCCCAGCAGCTTCCAGAGGCTGAGGCAGCATAATGCCCACAACCCAGGTCTGAGGTTGCAGTGAGCCATGATGCCATTGCACTCTGCTCAGGGCATAGGGTGGGACTTTGTCTTAACAACAACAGAAATAAATGCCAAGTGGACAGATATGCTAGAGTTGGGTTTAGAGCGGTATGAATGTTGGTTTGCTGGTAGAAGAAAGAAAAAGTGGTCCCATTGCCGCTGTTGCTTTTGAGAGGAAAAGGGAATATGAGCACAGCGTCCTGGCCCCTGTGTTCATAGGCTCACTAGTAGTGAGTAGTTCATGGTAGCCAGAGAAGACTAGGGTGGAGAGAAGTTCAGTTGGTGAGTCAGCCATTCAAAACTCCACTTAGTAGCTCTTGTTCCTTTTGAGCTGTCTCCATATTTCATGTACACAGTGCCACTGGGAGGTGCTTACCTTGAGGTAGTCCTGGCTTCCTCCACATAGGGTCTTATCTTTCCTTTATTTCTGCTTTTTTTGTTTTTGAGACAGAGCCTCAAGCTGTTGCCCTGGGTAGAGTGTTGTGGCATGACAGCTCACAGCAACCTCCAACTCCTGGGCCCAGGTGATTCTCCTGCCTCTGCATCCCAAATTGCTGGGACTATAGGTGCCCACCACAACACCTGGCGATTTTTTGATTGCAGCTGTCGTTGTTTGGCAGGCCCGGGCTGGATTTGAACCCACCAGCTCAGGTGTATGTGGCTAGTACCTTAGCTGCTTGAGTCATAGGTGCTGAGCCTTTTTTTGAGAGAGTCTTGCTCTGTGGTTTGGTCATATCTCACTGCATCCTTGAACTCATGGGCTCAAGTGATCCTCCTACCTCAGCATTAAGAGCAACAGGTATATGTCACCATATCTGGCTAATAAAAAAAAATTGGGCTTGGCACCTGTAGCTCAAATGGCTAAGGAGCCAGCCACATACACCAGAGCTGGCAGGTTCGAATCCAGCCCAGGCCTGCCAAACAACAATGACAACTACAACTAAAAAATAGCTGGGCGTTGTGGCAGGGGCCTGTAGTCCGAGCTACTTGGGAGGCTGAGGCAAGAGAATCGCTCACACCCAGGAGTTGAATTTGTTGTAGAGATGGGGAGTCTTGCCATGTTGCCTAAGCTGGTGTTGAACTCCTGGCTTCAACTGATCGTCCTGCCTTAGCCTCCCAAGTAGTTGGGATTGCAGGTACCAACCATTGTGTCTGGTTGTAGAAACCTGTGTTCAGATCCATATAGGCATCTGGTTTGCAGCCAGGTGTGGAGGCTTTGCTCACCAAATGGGAAGGAGAGGCAGGCTAGCAGGTGTGAGCAGGGGTGGCCGGAGGGAGGATGGAGTCACTCTAGTAGCTCCTCTGCCATCATCCAGACCCTTAGACTATCTGCCTTTCTCTTCTTCTTCTTTTTTTTTTTTTTCGCAGTTTTTGGCCAGGGCTGGGTTTGAACCTGCCACCTCCGGCATGTGGGGCTGGCGCCCTACTCCTTTGAGCCACAGGTGCTGCCCCCTGCCTTTCTCTTCTTGCAGACTTGAGATTCTATCTCATGCAGCTCACAGCTGCCTTGAGTTTGCTATTGTTCTGCCACAGGTGCCGCCCTGCCTTTCTCTTCTTTGGACTTGAGATTCTTTCTCATGCAGCTCACAGCTGCCTTGAGTTTGCCATTGTTCTAGCACGGGCTGGACCACCCTGCCCCTGGGATAGAAAGGAGCCTCCTTCAGAATCGATTTTCCTCCATTACAAAAGAGGATTTGGCACAATGGAGAAGAGGTTTCCTGTATGTCCCCCATCAAGCATAGCGCTTACCATCTTTGTGTGGTCCACTCTGGTCTTTTCAGTATTGGTATTAGTTTAGACTCAGTATTGGTATTAGTTTAGACATGATTATGATGCCTGGGTGAGGGGTGTGTGTGTGTGTGTGTTTATACATAATAATTGCTTATTGTAAATCATTCACACAGTACTTATGCCCTGATTGCCAATACCATCAATTTGCTTTCTTGATAAATATTTCAGTATATATTGCTGAAATGTAAAGGTTCTTTTTAAAAAACATAACTATAATACCATACTGGTTTTTTTTTT